CGGCGCCCAGGCAGCCGGCTCCCCGGCGCGCGCCCGCCCGCTCCTACCTTGACTAGCCGCGGCCATCTCGGCAAGCTCGTCTCGCGATGACACGCGCAGGGGCTCCAGGCGGCAGGACCTGGCGTGGAGCAGCGTCGTCGCCGCGCCCTGGCTTCCGGCACGTGGGGCAGATGTTTGCATTCCGGCGGCGGCGGCGGAAGAGGGCGGGCGGCGTGCGCGCCGCTCCCTCCCCCACCCCCGCGCGCAGTCGCGTCACAAAGCTCACGGCGGCGTCATCCACCCCCCCAAGCTCCGCGCAGCAGACGCACTGAGAGGGCGGGAAGGGGGGGGAGGGAGGAGGCGGTAGGAAGGGAGCGAGGTGCGCGTGCGCGAAAGCGGCCTAGGCCCTGAAGTGCGCATGCACGGAAAGCGGCCCCTCCCCCCCCAGCCTGGGCGTGCGCGTGCGCGTGCCAGGCCGCCGCCCACACGCCCAGGTGCGCTTGCGCGGAAACCCAAGGGTAGGCCGCTCGGTGGAGTGGCTGCGAAGCAGAAGGCGTCGTAAGGCCCACCTCCACGCGGCCCTTGCAGTTCCACCGTGACTGTTAGCGTAAACATTGAATAAAGAGTCATTGGTCTCATATCATCCCTCTTAAAAGCAGCTTCACTCCGAAAACTTTGGCATCACTCCCAACTCCTCTCAAAGCCCACAAATCAAATTACTAAGTAGCCCCCTGAAAAGTAGTCAACCCTGCTCTTTCTATCCCTCCACTGCCAGCACCCTAACGCTAGTCACAGTTACTTACCCCCCTTCACAAGTCACCCTGTTACCATTATTGCCCCCCTAAGATGTTTGCTACAGGGCAGGGAGGGGCACTGCAGAACCCCCACACCTGCTGGCTCTACATAACTTCTGCCTCTACATAGCTTCTGCCGTCCGCACCCAAAGTGACCCGTCCCCTGTGGCTCAAAGTCCCCCCACAAGGGACTGGCCCAGAGCAGGCCCACGAGCCGGCTGGCCGCGGCCTAAAGCGCCTCCCGGAGGGACCCACGGGAAAGGGTCAGCCAGGGCCAGACAGGTCTGGGAGGGAGCAAGAGAGCAACATCAAACCAAGACGAAAGCCGCCCGGTCCCCTCCCCGCGGGGCTCCCCCACGTCTGCGCCCCCCAGGGCAGGCAGGGCCAAGAAACAGGAGCCACTGCTCCGCTGCCCCAGGTCTCTGCTCCCGGTGCCCGCTCGGGTCTCCTCCTGGCTCCATCCTGCCTCCTTCCTCCTCAGTCTCCTCTCCAGGTCTCCTCCCTGCTCCGCTCCGCCCTCCTCTGGGTGGGGCAGGGGACCTGGGGCCTCCCCTATTCCTGGGGACCACCTTGTTACATGTTCTGTCATGGGGACTGGAAAAATTGCACTAAATTCCCACCTCCTATACTAAGAGGTAAGGAGGCCTGCCCTCCGTTGTCCACTGCTTAGACCCCCAAGTCCCTCTGCTGAAATGGAACCTTCACGGGGAGGCTTTCCGTGGGCACCCTCGTGCAACATTGCCGCCAGCCCGCCCTTCCCTTCTGGGCCAGCTTCCCTTTTTCGGCCTGGCGTTTATTTCACCTATGTTAGGTAAGCTGCTTGGGTGTCACAGTAACTGCTTGTCTCTCTGGGTGCGTGTTTGACTTCACAAACCATTTCACCTCTCCGTACCTGGCCCGCAAGAGCTGGATCCAGTCTGCAGTGCAGTGTCACTGAGGAACACAGCATATAATCGGAGTGCAGGCCTGGGGTACCATCGCTCCTGACCACCGTTCTGCACCCCACAATGGAGTGTTCTAAAACCAGAGGGCCCTGTTTCCAGCTCCAGATACTGCTGTGTGGTGCTCAGTGACCAGGGGAAGCTAAAAGGGAGCCGAGGACAGCACAGACCTGAAGGGGCCCGTGGAGCAGAGAAGTGTGAAGAAGAAGCGGTGTGCACTTCTCGGCCTTGGTCTTGCTCCAGGAACTTGAGGGACATGGAAAGAGACACTGGAAGAGACAGAAACGTGGGTGAGAGGCCTGTGGAGAGGCTGACAAGGGTCTTTATCTGGACTTGGGTTTTGATTTTGCTTTTTCCTTCCAGCCTCACCAGAAGGCACCTTGACCTGGGGAAAGCTTTCGAGTCTCAATGGTCTGGCTTTGGGCCAACCCTGCAGGGTGCAAATGGCTAATGTGGCTGCTTGATTTGGAAGTCATATTGTCTCTCTTTCGCTCCTTTCTGTTGCACATGGTTATCACGCACCAATGCTATTAAAGTTCTTTGTCATTGAAGGTCTCACACATTTATCCCTTGACGTGGCAGACAGGTTTGGGGGGTGCGTCTCAGGGAGCTGCTAACACCCTTATGGAGCTCTGACTCCCAGAAGGAGGAAGTGGTTTTATTCATGTCTCAGACACACAAGTGCAGCCGGGTCAAGAACACAGCTTGTGCAGTCGAGTCGCGGGACTTTCAGTGTGGCCGCTCAGGTGCTGCCGGCTACCACCAGCTGCCCGAGCTCCCCGGTTCCGCTGCCTCCTGTAAAGTGAGAGGAAGAACTTGGAGCAGTGGCGGCGTGAGCTCAGCACAGCCTCCGCATCCTGGCGGCCAGAGAAGGTCTCAGCCAAGTCCGCCAAAACAGCTTCTCCCTGTTGTAGCCAGGCTGGCCAACAAATCTGCACTCATTCCCAGACACATTCCTACCGGCGCAAAGGTGGGCTGTCGGCGTCGTGAGGGACATCTAGGGCTGTGAGCGTGGCCGGGGCTGCGGGGGGGAAAGAACTCATCAGACACAGTGTGGACAGTGGAGAAGGCGGATTTGCAGAGTTGCTGTGGAGAGGCGGGCGCAAGGCGTTTGGCACTGGGAGCAAGGCTGGACGCTTGTTCTCTGAGTCTGTATGTGATCTGTAAGGTTTCGGCCTAGCGTCTGCACTGGCTGCGACCTGCTGAGCCGCGAAGGCCTGAGAGCCCCTCATTCCTTCAATGGCTGCAGGTAGCCTCTTCTGGTCCCGTTTCAGTAACAACGTTGGCTCCTGTCAGGGCCAAGGTCTGAGGTACCAGGTCCCATGGTAACCCTCCCCCCCACCCTGTTTAAAATCTCCCATCCTTGTGTGCTAGGCTGGAAAGACACTGAGCTTTTAATCCCATAAGCCCCAACCCTTGAAATTCCATTTCTTGTAAAAACCCAGGTTGGCTTTCTTCTAATTAGCTGCACATCTTGAGATCCCGGGAGAGTCCTCAGCCCCGATACACCCTCTGAGCTGATGTCGCCGATATAGCCTGTACCTGCCCCCATGGGAGCAACCTGGAAGGCAGCGGGTCGGGTAATACAGAAGGAGGAGGTGACAGGAAGATGGGGCCGAGGCGGACAGAGGGTCAGCGCCCGGAGGGGCCGGCCCGCCACGTCTGGAGTGGGGCCGCTCTCTGGGCGGCTACACAAGGCCGCAGCGGCTGGTTCAGACCAGCGAGTGAGGTGGGCAGGCACTCAGCTGCCGCCCGCACTGCCCCGTCTAGTGCTTCTGGAAACAACTGTGTGCATTTCAGAGCAGGCCTCACAGTGCTGAGTCTTAACCTGTTGTGCCACCAGGGAGGCCCTGAAAAAATACCCTAAAGAAGAACTGCATCAGTGGGTGGGGCCCCCGAATATGTGGCACTGACCCTTACTCCCAGAGAAGGCGACACGGACCAGATGAAGGGACAGATCGGGGCAGCAGAGGGGCTCTGCCACCCAGCGAGGCAGATGGCCAGTATGGTGCGGTGGGCAGCTGGAGCGTGAAGGTGCAGGGTCTTCCTCAGCCACACGGGGCCAGGACAGCCACCAGCATCCTGGACAACCTCTTTGGCGGCCACTACCCTGGAGTGGGCTGGCCCTCGTGCGGCCACCCCTCCTTCTGCCCTTTCTGGACAGCCCACGAAGTGGCCTCTGGCCAGGCCTGGTGCTCACAGAGGTGAAGGGGTCAAGCTACAGCTCAGCCTGTCCTTCCTGCTGTGGCCGCAAAGGAAGCTGGTGACCTCGCCAGCCACCTCCGGCCTCGTCACTACACCGCTGAACGCTGACCATTTCCTCCTGGGAACTGAAGGCATTTTCTAGAAGAACCCGTCTTCTTTTTGCACCTTCTTCCACAGGGACAGCAATGCGTGCAGCGCTCTGCACCTGCCTCTTCCTGGGCCTCCTGCCCGCCACCTGGGCCGCCACCCGGAGATACTACCTCGGTGCGGTGACTGTGTCCTGGGACTACACACGAGGTGACCTACACGGCGGGCTGCGTGAGGACACCAGGTAAGGCAGGGCCCAGGGCCAGCCAGGCTGTGCACGCAGACCCCGGAGGGTGCCCAGCCGGCCGCAAACAGCCTCTCGTGGCAGAGCCAGCGGGCTGGTCTTGGCACAGACCTGTCGACCCACACCGCTGCTGTATGCTGCGGTAAGTCACTGCTCTGTGACTTCTTGTCACTCTGGCAGCGAGAGGGAGCTCAGGGATAAGCATTCAACTCAATCAGTAAGCTGAGTCGACCTGAGTGTGTAGCGCTGCCGATGTCACTCATGGGCTCACACCCCATCTGCCCTGTGCTGCTTCGAGGTGACTTCGGCAGGTCGCATTTCGCGGCTGGTCCCTGGTGTCCAGGCAGCGTCGTATTAAAGGGTCTTTCCATTAGTCCTGCTCGCCAGCGTGGGCGTGCGCACCTCTGCGTCACTCCGTCTTGGTCTTGTCTTCTGTCAGCGCAGCCTGGTGGCCAGTTGGTGGCAGGGGGCTCGAGTCCTGAAACACCCACTCTCTTCTGTGTCTGTGCTAGCGCACCTCCTTGGTGACTCTGTGTCTTGCTTGTGTGCGCGCTCCTGCCTTCTCTCTTTGCAGGTGATGCTTCGTCAGTCCAGCAGAGAGTCAAAAAGTGGAGAGGGGAGAGGGGAGCGGGCAAGGGGAAGACGTGGGCGTCAGAGTTGGGTGCAAGTCTTCCTGATCATTCCCTCGGCAGGTCTTTATTTGCAAGTAGTCAACTGCAATAATGCACAGGATGAGTTAAACAGAGATCGCCCTAAACTGTCATAAACCTCGCAAGGACGAGGGGAACAAAGCATTTTTTCCTTAACATTTTATGGTATACTAGATTATACATGTTTGTGATAATGGTCATGCGTACAGATGTTTAGCTATAACTCAAGGGAAGAGGGGTCTGGGAAAGGATGAGCTCATTAAAAAGGTTAGTATGGGTCTTGGGGAAGTAACAAATTGCATGAGCAGTGATTATCTAAACATCTAAAGTGATCATCTAAAGTTAGCAGTGATTGTCTGAGGGAAAGCTAGTGGCTCGTTTGAGGCTACCAGAGAGCAGTTGGTGCTTGTTTTAAAAAGGAGTAAATTAAGGGAAAGTTGTCCAGTTGTGTATTAAGCAACACCTGTGTGATCAAGGCTAAAACTGTCCATGAGTCCTGCCCTGGGAGTGTCATCTGAGGTTTGCTTTTCATTTAAAGAAGCCAAGGAAGTTTCCAGGGAGTCTGTATCCCTGGGGTCTTACTTTCAGGAAACAGGAATTTTCCGCCCTGAGGCAGCTTGCCTGGGCCCTGCACTTGTAAGCTGAAGGTTGCACAGAATGTTTTGATATTATGATTGCACAAAAAAGGGAGGTCGTCACATAGGTTAGCGCGGAAATTCTGATTTTTCAGAGCTTTGCCTTTTCTACCTGAAATTTGTCAGTCGATAGAAGTTGCACAGCGTGTCAGTTTTTGCTGTCGTTTCTCTAAATGTGTGCTCCAACGATTTAAACCCAGGACGTCTGCAGTCACACTTCATGGCCGTTTTCATTCTTTTTAAAAATTTATTTTCTTTATGCATAAAGGAGCTGGGATGTAGGTCACAGTGAGAGGGAGTGAGAGGCCTCCCGACAGACAGTGAGAGCAGAGCAGGCGGAGCCGCGAGCCCCACTGCTGAGGGGGCAGCAGGGAGACAGGAGGGGTCACTGCGCCCTGGGGTCCGCAGTGGCTGCCACAGCGTCAGAGTGCTGACGTCACCCCTGCGCCCCAGGGAGGCCCGGCTTTCTGTCCTTTCCGCATGTGTGCACGCACACACGTCCAAGTGAAGGGTCTCAGAGACAGACGGAGATTTCTGAAGAGGAGGATGTCCCACTGTCGCAGAAGCATGGGGACGCGCCACATGTTGCTGCCTCTTTCCAAAGGGCGGGGCAGTGACACATCCTCCTCTCACGCCTTAACAAACAGAACATGACCCGTTCGCATTCTCCACTACCAACAGCTGGCAATTTCTCTCTAGGAGCTACTCACTTGCCACAAACTATTATCGAGGTAACGCGACATCCCATCAGTTTCAGGAGCACAGTATGCAGAATCTCAGCACACAGGGCAAGGTGATCGCAGCGCATCTAAGTAACACTGGCGAGCCGGTAAGCCTGCACTGGCTTAACCTTTTAAGACTTGCCGTCAAACCAAAGCCTGTACACGGGGGTTTCTGTTTTCTTTTCTTCCCCACCACCACCCTTCCCCTCCCCCTTACTCCCCCCCCACCACACACACACCTCACTTCATTTGCTAGCTGTTAGGAGACCCGCGCACTGGCAAATCGCCTGCTGTGGGAAGGTCCGCCGCTTGCCTGTCAGCCCGACTGGCTCCGCTACCCCACCCCCCCAACGCCGGCCACTTCGCGGGAACGGCGGCGCCCCGCCTTTCTTGGCGGCCGAACGGTATCCCGTCGGGGAGACACGCCACGCCTGCTCCGTCCGTCCGTCCGCCCGCCCGCCCGCCCGTCCGGCGCGGCCCGCCATGTCGTACATGCTCCCGCACCTGCACAACGGCTGGCAGGTGGACCAGGCCATCCTGTCGGAGGAGGACCGCGTGGTCGTCAT